AGGTTACACCAACTCGTTTCGTCCTTCGAGCAAACCTGGACTTAAGAGCAGTTCCACTAGACACAAAATTGCCCAGCACCCTATCCCAAAATCAGCCCAGCACCTTGTCAATCTGCTCCAGCCCGCAAAACAGCCTAGCACCCAGCCTAAGCCAGGCAACAGACCTGCCCATTTTGGACAGACCCAGAGGCCGGCCTATTTAGTTGGCGCATGCAGCACATTCATGACTGGGCGTGAGTAGGAGACAAGGGTGTAGGCGGCGGGGCCCTCTTGTTAGCCCATTTGTGTTCACCTGGATTAGAGCTATGTGACCCTCCTCAATGCCGTTGGATTTCCAACGGCTAGTTTTTGTAGACCGTTGAATTTCCAACGGTAAAAAAAATTTAAATTTGACTTTTAAAATGGATCATTCGATCACAGATCAACTGTCCACGTTTTTTTCACCAAAAATAAAAATAAAATAAATAAAAAAGGCCCAACGGTCAGAATTATGATCATTGGCCATGTGGCAGTGCCTTGGCTCTTGGATTTGAATATTTTTCAAATCCAATGGTCCAGATTAATTAACTATATTAAAATTTATTAAAAATTATGAAAAAATACAGAAAAAGTATTAAAAAATACATAAAATTTTTAAAAAAGTTTTTTTTTTCTATAAATACCTAACCCTCATCTTCCACCTTACACCACATTTCAATATTTTATACACTTTCTACCAAAGCTTTCATATACTTTTTGTGTGAAAAAAATACCAAAAAGCTCATCCTTAATTTCTTTTGTCCATATAAACCATACATCCCTACATCCATCTTCATCATTTTCAAATCTTGAGTTTTTTTTATAATGTCTTCTTCAAGGAGAGTGCATAAACAATTTGTGGAGCAACAGAAAAGATTGTTGGCACAACAAGAAGAATTGATCAATCTCGAGGAAGGTGGAGGTGGAGATGAGGCTTTTGCAATGGAGAAGGACTAGGATGATGATCATAGAAGGCAGATGGCCTCAAATTCCCGTCGTGTCATGGAAGCTGTGGTTCAGATAGCCAAACCCAGACGTGCCGCAAACTTCGATAGAAAAAGGGAAAGACGAGGTAAAGATCTCTTGGAAGATTATTTTATTCCAACAGCGTATTCCATGATCATGTTTTTAGACGTCGTTTTAGAATGCAACTAAGTTTGTTACAACAAAATCATGAGTGCTATTTGCAACCATGATCCATATTTTGTGCAAAAAAATGATGCTTTTCATGTTTTAGGTCTTCTTTCAGAGCAAAAAATTACGGTTGCCTTGCGAATGCTTGCATATGGAGTATCTGCAGATCAAGTGGATGTGATCGCGAGGATGGGAAAAACAACTGTTCTGGAGTCCCTGATGCGGGTTTGCTCTGCAATTGAAGCCCTGTACACCAATGAGTACCTCCGGACACCCACGCCAAGGGACATGCAAAGGCTTCTGAGGAAGGATGAGATGCAAGGCTTCCCTGGCATGATTGGAAGCATCGACTGCATACACTGGACTTGGAAAAACTGTCCAAGTGCATGGCAAGGAGCTTATGGCGATAGAAAAGGAGTCAAAAGTATCATTTTGGAAGCGGTGACTTCATTTGATACATGAATTTAGTATGCTTTTTTGGATGTTCCAGGAGCTCAGAATGACCTAAATGTGAAAACATCTGAAATTAAGTTGTACATGCAACTTTTTTCTTTCCTGCCGTCCTCTAAGAGAAGGACAAAAGATTCAAACTAAACTAGTACTTCCTCTTCCTTATTTTGAAGCTCATCGATCGGATGACATTATCATCAGCTTTCAGATTTGCTTCAAGAATTTCGAGAGATTCAGGTTTTGTGAAGTAGGTAAAGAGGAGATAAATGTGAAAACATCTGAAAACTCAATAACAAAGGAACGAATGGACAGTTGAAAACATCTGAAATTACGTTGTACATGCAACTTTTTTCTTTCCTGCCTTCCTCTAAGAGAAGGACAAAAGATTCAAACTAAACTAGTACTTCCTCTTCCTTATTTTGAAGCTCATCGATCGGATGACATTATCATCAGCTTTCAGATTTGCTTCAAGAATTTCGAGAGATTCAGGTTTTGTGAAGTAGGTAAAGAGGAGGTAGATACCATCCAGGTAAGTGTTGGACTCTCCGGCTTTGTTTTTCTTCTGGATGCCATAGGCTAGTGGAATTACCCCTCTGTTGAAGACCTCCACGTACATGCCACCCCCGGCTATTAGCAACTGCAAAATATGGATCATCAGATTAAAACCCTGTAACCAACTACACTCGACAGTTTTAAAACCTGAGCAGGCAACGTAATGCTGCTTAAATTAATTTGCATGTGTTAAAATTCATCTTATTTCAAATAAGTTCTTACACGGTTAACACAGTCATGGCGCAATCATAATGTCTAAAAGCCTAGACTTGTCCAACACCATGACACTTCAATTACATCATCACAAGATCAAAAGGAAGCCACAACCTAGTTCTCCGAATCTTCGTAGCTACAAATAACGCATAAAATGCATGACTAGAAATCAGAGGGTTAAAATAAGGCATGACAAGATACAATCTGGCATTTCTTGATATTACAGGAATTATTGGGTGACAATCACAATCTATCAGGTTTGCTAGTAGTAGCCAACTTTCACTCCATTTAAAATAAATTAAGAAAATAAGGGCATAGCTTGCGTAGTATTTAACATTCTCGTTGTGATTGACTACTCACTGATAATCTTCACTCTATTCGTTGATTGCACATCCAAACTAACACAGCTACAATTCAAATGACAAATATTACTTCACGGAAAACAACCACGGTTAACAAATTAATATGTATATGATGATAATAAAAGATATTAGTTTACCACTATTCCTGAAAGGTTTAAGCCATTAGGAATCGGATATGGTTATTTCCAAATTCTAATAGTACCTCCCATGCGTAGAAAGACAAATTTGGGATCTCCTACTTTGACATCATGGTAAACGAACAAAAAGTATTTCGATCTTGCAACCTAAGACGTACTGGGTAAACTTATACCTCCGACTAGATTATAAAAGATGTCAGAATGATCCAGAAAAACCACGGTGCCTAAGCTACGATAAAGTTACACATTTGCTAAATTTGAAGTGTTCGATATGAGTTCTTCTCAATATACACAATTGGGGACCTAAAGACGGTTTTTCAGAGGAAAGTTTCTCTTACGAAATTTAAATCAGCAGATGTACACTACACAAACTTAACTACATTATGAGGACTCAAAATTCATTCGAATAGTAGTATCTTCGAACATATCGCTCTAATAGCGAAAAGAATCTCGCACTGCAAAGTAAACTTTTCAAAACTAAGCATCTCTCAAAGTCCTAACTCACTAAGAAATCAAATACTATCCGCCAATTGCCAGTGTTAGTATCAATTCAACCCAAAATTGGAAATTTGTTCACTAATCTTCATATAAACTCAGCTTAACACATTCTTATATTTTCTTTAAATTTTCTCATCAGCCAAGCAGATAACAAACCAAAATTGAAAACACATAGATAAAACCCACTAATTTTAAGAGCCAAAGAAATCAAATTTACTTCACCAAAATAAAAAAGAGCAACAGAATTTGAATAAAAAAAAAAATTCCTTTTACCTCCTCGTACTTCTGGGTAAGAGTAAGTCTTTCATCCTCGGACATGTCGGGTCTGAGCACCGCCATGGTCTCGTACTGTCGGAGCCCCGGTGGGCACGGGGGATCCTCCTTCTCCTCCACGGCGGTCAAGCCCGACCCGGGCGGGGAAGTCGGGTCGTCCTCCGATTGAAACCCGCCCTCAAAAAACGAGCCCGAGAACTCCAGGGACTGGACATTGGCGGTTAGGCGCGGACTGGGATACGGTCCGGTTCGGTTAAAGAGAGGGAAGGAGACGGTTTGGGTTAGAGAGGGGATTTGGGAAATTGTTCTGGGGCAAAAAGCGAAATTTGATGAAGGGGTAAGAGATGAAATGAGGGAAGAAGTGGAAGCCATTGCCGGAAGCTTTTTATTTGGAACAGAAGAAAGCTTCTGGGTTAGTCCTCAGTGGATATTGATAAGGGCCTAGAGGAGAGGACAATGGTGAATGAAACGACGTGTCGTGTACTTTGTTGTGTTTTGCCATAAGTCGTAAGATGATGTGATAATTGACAATTTCGGATACTAACACGTCATAACATTCGTAGCTCACACAAATATAGGATTTGATGTGCAAGCCATTAACATAATCGAAACACAAGCAATAACCATTCAGCTAATTTTAATTTAGTGAAATCATAATTTCTGATGAATATAATAATTTATTGTTTAGATTAATTACATTTTACAAAACCAATCAATTTATGTCTTTGGACTGAATAACTTTCTAGTCTTTCGTTAAGTTGATATTGTAATCTTGAAACTATTTTCTAGATTGATATGAAAGCCACGTTTGCACTTCAAAACTAATCATCATAAAAATTCAGCTTCTCCTTAACTAATTATTTGTATCCCAAAATCACGTAGTTTTGTCATATAAAAGTGCAAATGGAGATCCTCTCCGAATTCTATTTGTGAGAATCACGGGAATCCTTAAATCGTATCCGTTCATCATACGATTAGTTTTCATCAAGTACTGTTCATGTTTAATTGTTAATAAAAATATTTAAAATGATTTATAATAGCACGATGTATAATAAACGAACACGATTTAAGAATCTTCAAGATTCTCACTAAGAGAATCCGGACATGATTCTCATTGTGCAAGTGTGTCTGTCTTCTATGGATACCAAAGAGGTCCCGTATATGCGACGTGAATAATGGCCGAATAAACAAAAACAAGTTGATCCGATTTCAAAACATGACGCATCAATGACGATCACCCATGTATAGGAGGGTACACCCGAATACGGCCCATTATCATCGGGCCCATGAAATCAAACCTAGAGGCCCAAGTCCAACCCACATTGAAGCCCAATAAATTACAAGTTTCTTCTTGTAAAGGAAGCAAAGAGCGAACATAAACTCAGCATAGTAAAATAGCTAAGGCAATCGGAGGAAGAAGGAGACGAAGAGGCAAGCAACCGCAGGAAGACGAGAGAGATGGATCCGAAGCTCACAGAGGTCGCACAGCTCTTCGAGCGATTCAAAGCTGCATTCGTGCGGAACGATTTCGATACCTGCTCCAATTTCCTCTCCCAGCTCAAGGTAACTCGCCAATGCCCAAAAACCCTAATTTTCAATCCCAAATTCGAGATTATCAGCTTCTTGTTCACATGATTTAGTAACTATTGTTATTTCGTTTCACTTCTTAGTGCTAAAGTATGATTCTTGTGTGTTGCCCCGAGGTGATTAGGTTTTTGGGTCAGTCAGAGTGATGGAATTGTCGTTTTGATTTTCTTCCTTTGAAATATTTTGTAATTAGATTTTGGGTATTGGTTAATTGAATTTACAAGATTTCGAGATTTTGGTGTAAGGTGTTGTCGCAAGTGTTTGGTTGTTAAGCTGCTGGGGAGTGAAATGCTATTCAAAGACGTCCGTTCGGAAGATTTATTAAGTTATTGGTTTTTATGTGAAGATATGTGGAATTGTGGCGTTGTTGTAAGTGGATTGAGTTGCATCGGTTGTGTTTTCAGGTTAAGCTGACTGAATTCGGAAGCCTACCACCGTTGTTTCAAAACACACCTAATGCTGTCAAGGAATTAACATTAGCAAGTAATGTTCTTTATCCAAATCTATTGCTTTTACTTTCCTGTCCGTGTAGTTCCAAACTTCGTTGTTGAAGTAGTGAATGCGCCAGAAACAAAAATTATGCTTTTATAGTTCATTGTGCTACCTACTTATGTTGTAACGAAAGAGTGTGCTAGTTTAATATTGTTCATTGGCGTATTCCACTTCATTATCTTAATCCAACAACCTCGTCATTAACCTTTTTCATGTTTCATAAAATGTCAGGGGATATATATGAGCATGCTGTTGTGCTTAGTGTGAAGATTGAGGACCAGGATGCATTTGAAAGGGATTTCTTTCAGTTGAAGTCTTATTATGTAGACGCTCAGTACGTTATCATCCCACTCTGTTTATCTTCTATCAATTACTCAGTCCTTTTTTCAAAACAGAAAATAAATGTTTGTTTAAAAGGATTGTTAATGAATTTACTGTTCTTATGGAGTAGTGACCGTCTTCCATCATCCCCTCAAGAGCACCCAATTTTAGGTCTCAACCTGTTGAGACTCCTTGTCCAGAATAGAATTGCTGAGTTCCACACTGAACTGGAACTTCTTTCATCTGCTGCTTTGGAGAACCCTTGCATTAAGCATGCTGTAGAGCTAGAGCAATCTTTCATGGAGGGAGCTTACAACCGTGTGTTGAGCGCTCGTCAGACTGTGCCACACGAGACTTATGTTTATTTCATGGATCTACTGGCTAAAACAGTCAGGTAAATTTGTTTTACTTAATAATTAGGATTATGTTTGAATAGTTGCAAAAGCTCTTCAAACTTGTGACAAGAAATGCTAATATCTGGAAGTTGGGAAGGTTTTTTCTTTGGAACATTCCATCATTGTCCGTGACTCATAGGAACATGTGAATGATTTGAGCCCATCATCTTCCTATTATTGAACTTATTGTGTAGTTTAGCTATTTAGATAATATGTTTGCAGTGCAAAATTAAAAATATCTTTGCGGATTTCTATTTGGTTGATCTCTGTCACTTTTAGGGATGAGATAGCCGGATGCAGCGAGAAGGCATATGATTCACTCTCAATTAAGGATGCCCGTCAAATGTTGCTATTTCCTTCTGACCGCGAACTTTTGGCATATGTCAGTGAGGTACGTCGTGTGTAACATGTTATTTTCCTTTTTCATAAAAAGTCCAAATTGACTGAACTTCTTAGAATGACTGATCTTCTGTTTTTGAAATAAAATGCCTATAGCTTTCTGGCAGAAAGTTAAAAATGCATATCCTTGCAAATCATGGGTGGGAAAGACAGCATGTTTGACATGTAAATTTCCAATAATATAAGTTGACCGAGTCCCTTATTCCCAAATAAAACACTGAATGAAACCCTTACCCGAGGCCTGGCCATGGGCTTCAGCTTCGAGTATAAATCTAAATATAAACTATATGCCTAACATCAAGGCACTACTGCTTGTGCTCCAGCAGCTTTAGTAACACGATCTTTTCTCCGTTGGTTCTACAAGTTTATAAGACTTTGTTCCGTGGATACAGGATCATCCTGAGTGGGAGGTGAAGAATGATGCTGTCTATTTCCAGAAGGCAAAGGAGTCTGCACCTTGCAAAGAGATACCATCTCTACAACTCATCAACCAAACTCTCAGCTACGCAAGAGAGTTGGAGCGGATTGTCTAAAGGAGCTGCTGCTGCTGCAGTCTGGTTGTTTGTTTTGTGATTCACAACTGTTGCTCTCATACACTCACTTCCAAAATTTCTTTTCAATTCAGTACTGAGCCCAAAACTGTGTACTATTGTATTTTAGTTCGACCACTTTGGGTGGCAATATTTTTCAGATTTTTTCTTTCAATTTCATTAATCAGACAGGTTGCTTTACTTTAATTACAAATCTGTCTACTTTGAGTCAAACGTCACAAAAAAAAAAATAAAAAAAAATAAAAAAAAAACATGTTTATCATTAAGCGTTGTCATGTTTAACATGTTTAGCATTTGGCGGGACTGGCCGCAGCCGGTGGCCAACTTGTACGGCAGCCTCACCCACTCGCTTTAGTGTAGGTCTTGAGTACGGCTACCGTCCGCAGGTAAGGTACCCACAACCAAAACTCTCTCAAAGAGTCGGTCTTGAGTATGGCTGCCGCACAGGCATCATACTCGCAATGAGTGAGATCGGGTCACGCAAGGTGTCTTGCCATTTTGCAAGTGTATTGACCTGTTATCCGTACTAAAAACATCTAAAAGGCTTCCAAATGTATGATTTTTATACACCTGAGTTTGAATCATTCTTTTTGCAATTTACATAGTTTAAAATATAAGCGTGATAAAAGTGTTACATGATCGGACTTGTAGGATGGTTTAATAAAAAGTTGTCACGTTGTCACGAGTAGGTCAGATTAATCAGAAAACAGAATATCATTTATATCAAAATGTTAAAAATGGTATCATCATAGTTTAGAGGACAAAGTAGTTGGGTCGAAAGGTACGACATGGTAAGATTGAAGCACTGGATTAAATGTTTGATGAGCTAAAAATGCACGATCAGTTTATGCCCACATTTAACTTTCTTCAGCCAACCAAGCGAAGCACTGCAATCACTCCACCCTATATGTCAGAGAAGATTTATTCACCCTATTCCCATCAATCTTGGGGTTCCCATGTTTGAAGTTAATCGAACCACCACGCCGACAACAAGTGGCTTGTTTGAATTGATTTACTAGGATTTTCTTTTTCTCATTTTGCAGAATCCGAAAGAAACCCGTTGCATGAAAGTAATTTTTTGATTTAACTGTCACACTGTCACGTAGTGTTACTAATTTACTCATGTTATAATATGTGGATATATTTATCTTGTGTCCTTGATCAATTATGTCGTTCGCTCATATTAACAACATGCTCTATTGGTGTTATAAGTAAGTTAACGACAAATAATTAGAAACCTAGTTGTTGATAATCAGCTTTCACAATTTAGTACTGATTTTGCCAATTCCCTAATAAACCCACAAGCAGAAGTCTCTCAGTCGCAGTCTCACTTTTTTCCTGAGTGGAATGTCAGCATCTTGTATTGTTCATTTTTTTTTTTAATACAACCGATATTGGGGGAGAAGAGATTCAAACACAAAAGCTCGGTGCATCAGTGAATGCTCTTAATCACATGTGCTACATGTTCTAATATAGTGAAAAGTCTTCTGCTGCTCTGCATTACACTCCCCACAATCTTCCACCGTGAGCATTTCAGTTCACAAGAATTGCATCCAAACATGGTTTATCCAAAATAAAGTTTCTTCCATACAAACAAATTACCACTGAAAATATACGTTGGCGAGCTTTTCTTGGATCTTGCTATTTTTTTATCCAAGGAATTTATTCCACAAGATAGCAAGAGAGTCAATAAAATCATCCAATTCACAATTTACAAGCGCTGGCCATACAGCGATTGATTAGAAGAACGAAACTTGGGTAAAGTTGTTTAAAATCCAAGATCGAAACTTGGGCATACTTCGATTTGCTCCAAAACAGGCTCCTCAAAACGAGGTCTTTTCTCATCAGCAGCATCATGAGAAGCACAAGAACTGAGACTTGATTTCTCAGAAGCGTATGCTCTGTCACGCTGTTTAGTGTCAGCTTCCACATTGCCTGAATATTGCTGCTTGAAACAATTGCAAACACAATACATCGTATCAAAGTTACATAAGTTTACCGATGGTTGCTAAAAGAGTGAAATGCATTGTAAAAACAAGAAATCAAATAAATAAAACCACGGTCATAAATTTCAAGCGATATAACCACGGTCATAAATTCTTCACCGTGGAATGGGTTCAACTACATAAATCCTAATAGTTCTACTTAATTTCTCCTGTAATTTGGTGGCTGATAAGAACTGCAGATAATTTAAATTGGAATAGCACCAGCAGAAAAAAAGTGGCAATACATTATACATAGATACTATGGAACAACAGTCAACCTGGTCTTTTCTGATGTCGGCTCCATCAGCTACTCGCCCGCCACTACCACCGGATTTGCCTGCATAGACTATAGTTCGATTCAAATTGAATTTCCACTTAATTAATGAATGAAAACCTAATTTTGGAAAATATAACAGTTAATGTTGATGCAAATTCAAAATGTTCTGATAAAACTTGCCTTTAAAAGACATAAGATCAGGTGGTTTTCCAGTGTCCATCTTTTCACTCAGTTCTATTTTCACAGCTATTCTATGTGGTTGTGACGGTTGATCAGCTTCAGAGGAATCCAATATTATAGCATCTGAAACATGCGACCCCTTAGAGGTGGTAACTGGCCTAGCCGCGCTGTTATTATCATGACTGGAAATTTTGCTCTCCTGAGCCATAGGTTTTTGGAGAATGGACAAAATCTGACGGGCTGCATAGATGGAAACAGAATAATAATCAGAAATCTATTAAGTAGTAAAGGCAAACACACATATACACATCAAAATTTCTCAGGCCTAGCCCAGGTGCCTCGGTATAAAGAAAAAGAAAGACAATCTTTGAAGTCAATACAATCAATAAACTTGCTGTAAGTGATTCCCCAGGTAACCCTTGACTCACCATCACGCAAAGGCTTGTTTGTAGGGACTGCCCTCCCTGGTTTTGTTTCCTCAACACTGGAGATGCTATGATTTGAGTTTGAAGCTTTCTTCAAACAATCTTTGTCATCGGACTTTCCTTCATCCTCTGGCCAAAACAAATGCGGGAGACATGATCAAGACCTTAGCAAGCATCAATGTCTAAACTCGTATCAGAACAGCACCATACCTCCAGAACTAGCATAAGGTTCACCGACCTCCACCAGATATTTTGGTAGCTCAAACATACAACCTTGTCTTATATCTTCAGACAAACTGATGTGCTTACTACTCAGCATGGTTTTATCTTCACTAAATAAACTAACCTGGCATGTGTATAATGATACAGAAAGTTGGAAGCTAGTTTGAATTCATTAGCCCATGAAAATGATGCAATTCTTAAAGGATATGTGATTCCAAGCAAGGAATGGACTGGACCATGTGATGCATCACATTCAGTAGATACGGCTCATAGATATGAAACCAACATCCACAACAGAACAAGTATTCATCAAATTTGGTAGAAAGTGAAACCAGCAATGAAACCAAAATCAACTTTGACAATCAAATATATCATACATAGTTGGGTGTGAGGACAAGATGATAACATTGTGTAAACATCAATAGTTTCAAAATATATATACCTGCCTCCTTTGGGAGCCACACAATGCGAGCTTTAAAAAACCATCATGGTACTTTTTGGCCTTTTGAGTTATTTGTGTAGTGTAGAGGACCTTCCATTCTATGTTAGAACAGAAAACAAAGGGAGTTGTCAGCCTGGGACCATATCATTAGGGGTGGGTAAGATAGGATCAATGGATAAAAAAAACTTTAAGCAGTCACTTTAGAGATGCAAAAGTTCAATTTAAAAGAGAGAACCTTTCACTTACTAACCTTTTCCAGCACCTTTATTGGTGATAACACCATTACCCTGTTCAAGGTTTATTCCTGCCTCAGCGACAACATTATGTTTGTTTTCTCTTATATGCAAATCTGCTACAGGCTTACGATCTCCTTCACGTTCTCCAATTTCAACTAAATGAGCATCAAATCTTATTGATTCACCGGAAGCTACCACTTCATCTTTCTTAAGGAACCTGCAGTCTATTTGATTCCCGCTTGCATCTAACAGTAGTATCTGAACAGAGAGATAAAAGGTAATGCCAGGGATCCTCAAGTTTTCCTTAGGTAAATTCATTTGCAATCACACACACACACAGGGCAACAAAGAAATTCTACTTACATGACTGAATGACTTTAGAATTTAAGGGGCAAAATTTGAGATTGATAACTAAAAAAGTAAAACGAAGATGGTTGAATGGCCATCCATTGAGATAAATGGGACTTGCAAAGAAGAATAGACAGGTAGTAACGCAACCTGCTTTCCATAAGACCCAGAAGTCGAAAACTGTAAGAAACCATCATGATACTTCTTGGCCTTTTGAGTTAGTTGGGTGGTGTACAAAACCTGCCACTCTTCATTGTAACGAAATTAATAAGTAAGTCAAATGTGAAGCAAGAAACCCCAGATAAATGCTAGTAAACATCTGACAGTGCAGAACTAACAAAATGATGTTATACTTCAACATTTTATAGTTAAAATTGCATTTGTATTAATAAAGCTACTAACTCACAAACTAACCTGTTTTGGTAGTATTCGTGGTTTCTGGACTACTCTGTCCTGCGCCATACTTGTGCAGTCCCCTACTCTTAAACTCTAAAATGTGAATAAACGTGTTACATGTGTGTCACGTTATAAACTCAACAAGCTCACAGAATAGCTTTGATTGTAGCACAATCAATACCAAATGGCAAAGACACAGAAACACTGGACGCATTGAAAACGTTTAATGCTCGAAAACCACAACCAAACTGAATACAACGCTTCATCAGTTACCGCTGTTACACAATATTCCGAATATTCTTGTGACAATAGCTCAAACCAGTTTGCCATAACTTTCTATATGAAATCAGATCACAATGAGTAAAGCGTTACACTAACCTCTGATAATCTTTTGCGACGGACTCATACTTATCTGTGGCTTATTCCCTGTATAAATCACAAAACCGGTGTCGGTGATTATAATTACAACAGCCAAAAATGTACAATGCTATGAAATTGCACAAAACTGACTTGAGATAACAATTAGCAATTGGAAACTGAACTGGAAATCACAAACGGCTTTGCGCGCTTCTCATCTTTTGCTCGAGAATCGAAACCAGGTACAGGTTTTCGATCTCCGTCAGCCGATAAGGCTTCGTTCACGTCAACGAGAAAAGAATTGAACGTGAGAGTTTCGCCGCAGCTGACTTGTTCGTCTTTCTTCAATATCCTGCACTCCAAGAGCTTCTCGCAGTCGTCAAACAGCAACATCTGTGCACCGGAGTCCAAAATTAATCACAGAATTCCAGTTTAGCTGAATAAATCGAAGTAAATTTGGGATTAATTGAGAGATATTGCGAATTAAGTTACCTTATTGGTGGAGGCGTTGACCTCTAAGGAGCCGTCCTGGTAGACCTTGCGCTTCTGCTTCATGTGCTTCGTGTAGGTCACGCTCCACCGGTTCACCTCCGCCATCACCCCCGCCTTCTCACTCTCAGTGTCCTCCGAGAGAGAGCGACCGAGATTTTCAGAAAATGATCGAATCAAAAGAGCGTTTGGTTTTCTTATGGCGGGGGACTCGCATCCAAAATTTTCGAATTGGCGGTGCTCAGCTTCGTAATTTAAACCAAGTACATGGGCACTTCAGTAAATTTGGATGGCATACGTACAAACGACTCGTCGTTTAAACTGCTTCAGCTTTGTATGTGCTCTCTTTCAAGTTGGAAGCGCTGAGCTCCCTCGGAAATCTTCAGTTTTGCTCAGATCTCCGATCTTTCTCGTAGATCCGTACGAAATCGAAGACTCGGAATCGAAACATGGTAATAGTCGGTGAATTTTCTTATCGATGTTTTCTAATTTGATTGAAATTTTGTGTTTATGATTACACATTAGGGTTTTTGATTTGGGTTTTTTGGTTATGGCATGCAGTCGGCGCTTTTTAACTTCAATTCGTTCTTGACGGTGGTGCTGCTCGTGATTTGCACGTGCACCTTCGTGAAGATGCAGTTTCCGGCCGTCCTGGAGCAGAAAACTGGGTCAGTGGTCTCACTTCCCATGGCTTCTCTAATTTTGTAAATCTGTGTGTTTTTATTCATTGTAATTTAATTTAATGCTTTGATTAGTGTGTGTTTAATGAAAGTTTAGCATAACCCAATTATATGCATTGAAGCATTTTCCAACATTTAATCAATATTGCCTATGCACATTGTTATTTGAGGTTAAGAAAACTTAATGTACAGGCCCTTTATGCAAAGGGATCCCCAATTTTTGAAAAAAAATGGGAATTAGGTTTAGGGCCCACTCCACATCGAATTTCAACGATTCGAATCATCTATTTTGTTAGTCTCGATTCATAGATCATCCTTGCAAAAATTCAATTTAATCTGAAACCATTTGCCTATTTAATTATCAAGATCAAATTTCATTGTTTCTTATATAACAAAGTATTTGTTCATTTCTTTGAACCCAATTAGATGTCTTAAATATTTCTAATTTGGCTAATATTTTGCAAGGATGAGGTACAGTTTGAAAAACAGACAGTTCGGATCGTTAAAGTTCGATGTGGTATGGACCTCACAACTAATCCTTATTTTTATAAAAAAAAATTGGGGATCCCTTTCCTTAAAAGGCTTCCGCTTAATGTAAATGTTAATCCTGCCCGGGTGTTGCGTTTAGCATCGGTTTAGAGTAGAATTGCTTAAAAACAAAAGGGTTGTGTTTTTTTAAGCACTTGCGGTTAGCCCAAGTAACAAGCGAGGGGTAAGGGGTTAGGATGAGGATAGGTCTAAAGTTTGCATCCCTTCAACGTAACGAGGAAAAGGGTGTAGTTTTGCAAACTGGATGCGCACGAGCAAGATGTTTGGTATTTGGACTATGATTCCTAAAAGTTGCGTATTCAACTGCTCACCTTTGAAGAATTGTGTAGTTAGGTGTACTTGCATTGGTTCTACTTATTTGATTCCGACATTTATGTATTTTACCTCCAACCAATGATGGTTGTGTTTTACTTTTCCTTCACGCGTCCATGTCTTTATATGATATGTCGAACTTCAAGATCAAGCCGTGTTCTGATTTTGTTCCTCGTCTTGGCAGATTTCGGGGATTTTTCTGGAAGGCGGCTAGAATCGGTATGTTATTAAGGTTCTGTGTTTTTTTTACTGGAAGGCGGCTAGAATAGTTTCAGTTGTCTATTCCATTTATGTGGTGGATTAATTTTTTCGGTACGTGAAACAGGTGAACGCCTGAGCCCTTGGGTTGCGGCTGGATGCTTTGCGATGGGGATCTCAATTATATTTTTCTGAGCAGGTATTGCTTTTGTGCTCCGGGAAGCAGCTGCATCTCTTCGTTCGTATGTCTTTCTGTCCTAACGCGCCCCTTTTGTTCTTGTTCTTGACCTGACTTCGTACCAACTGCAATGCCAGTGGGTTACAGAATAGGCATCTCGCTTACATGTGATTTAAACCTGTAGTTGGCGGTTTAATTTTGCGACAAAAACTAATATTACCTGCAGATTGATGATATGTACATAGATTATTGTTAACACAGCTATTTTTACGAATGAATTGAAATCACTTTCTTGTTTTTTCGTTTGCGGACATCGATCCTTCTGAATGTGTCAAGAAATGAGTGGGGAAGGCAAGTTGGGAAAGGCAAAAGGGAAAGGTAGCTAGCAACCCTCGTGCAATTTACTGTTTTTGCGTGTGACGTTTTTACGGTTTAACCTTGTCAAACCAGATATTGGCATGAACAAGTGTTGTCAAGAATCGAATGTAAACTTTTGGTAAAATCTCATCCCACGACACTGCCACTTATTTGGGGTCCAAATTTAGACAAGATACGCGGCTTTGTGCACCGTGATTTCCACAAGCCGCAACAGGATCGTATACGCACCGGCCAACAAACACAACTTGCTGGGTGACAAGTGCACAAGTGGATCCATGTAAGCCAACCAGAATCGTTAATTTCGATTGCACAAAAGGCAACAGCGGGAAGTCATACTCTCATCGTCATGTGATGTTATTGTTCAATTGTTTTTGACACGTAACTTATCTTTTAATATTATACTCTAAACTACGTTTATGTATCAATCTATTTTATAAAACACAACGTGTCACTTTTTTAAACTCATCTCCCTTTCTTTAGTTTAGATAATTTCGTTTGTTCAAAAAAAAAAAATTGAAGAAAAAGTAAAACGTATGGTATTGTGCTACCAAATTAGTGACATCTTAGTAATCAATATATTAGTGGATGCAATTGGATTTGTCGTAGTCTCTAATGGATCCAAGTATATACAAATAACCTATATTTTAATCGATGATGTCCAAATAAACAACTGTACTATTCTATAATTTGAACGTCAACTTCCAGATAATCAAACTAAAACCAACCATTATTGCCATTCTTAATAATTAAATAAGCTTAATGCATATCATTAAGAAAGCTGATTAACATTTTGGGAAGCTAACAGCTCCTTTGTTTAAGAAACTGCTATTGTCACTAGTCTATTAGCTTTTTCTTTTTCTGAAAAGTTTGTCACTTTGTTAAAAAAAACAACAATAGTTGGGATCATCGTGTCATTAGCCAAAATTGGGATTAACTTTAAATTAATTGCCTTATAGGCTGTGGCCACTTACTTTTTCACACCTCCTTTTGTTTCTTCTTTGGGAAAAAATTATTAATGTGATAGTACATCAACGTGAACTTATATTCAAATTATAACACGTTAAGATTAAATTTTACTCGAACTCATATGACTGACAAAGCAGATTCATAAAACTTATATCATTGTCGTGATTCAGACGAAAATTAAATACGTACTAAACATACAGCTTAAAACAGCAAGAATACTATTCTTGTTCTCCAAATTATTTAAGAGTTGAAAGAATATGTAAAAAACTATAGAAGACACCAAACATGTATCTTGTTGTAAAGACTAGAAAGACAATACTTAGTCATCTACATGTGTAAATTGATAATTATGATAACAAGTAATGAACAATCAGTTTTATTCAATTCACGTGAATGAATACAGTCTTTAAATGAAATGAGGTTTTCTACAATGATTTTTAAACAATGATAACTAACACAATTATGAAAATTTAGATAGTGAAATGATTTCACATAAGAGAGAAATATTATCCAAACAATAATGTGCACCAGAATTATGTTATCAATCATACTCATACAGTAATTATTAGCTACTAAGAGCATCTCCAAATAATATGTCAAAAAGTCCACATCAACAATAACATTAAAAAAAAAAAAAAAACCAACACAATTGTTTTCCAACCGAAATGCCAATTTTTGTATGGTATGACATGGATTGGCAACAAGAGGGGTTGTGTCAAATTTCACAACACCTTCAAATACCTATTATTAATTTTGTTATTTGTTTAAACATTTATTATAAGTGATTGTTGATTGACTGCGCTTTTTATTTGTTTAAAGTTTATTATTATGGTGCACAATATTGTAATTTTGTAAAACATATGGGGGTATACTTGCTATTTGAAAATTTCATTAAAAATGCATTGATTAATATGCTTTGAAAAAAAAAAAAACACTTTTTTTGAAGCATGGTAGACCTTACTTTTGCTTTTCTAGTTTCATTGACAATAGTTTAAAAAAAAAACAATTTTTTTTTTTGTTTTACCAAACACATTTAACGTTTTGGATTTTTTAATAAGCTGTTTTTTTTTTTTTTTTTAAAGCACCACAATCCCAAACCATGTTGGCAAATAACTCTATGGTGAAACATCAAAATTTTTTCAATATATGACTATAGAAATATGAAGGCTAAATTGTAGCAAATGTTCATAATCTATACTACGAGTTTAGTTTTCTTCCCTGAACTCTACTAATTGTTTCTCCTGTCGAATTATGTTTTTTGTTGCACTAGTAGTCATTTTCATTAACCCCATTAATGTTTCCATTAAGTTAGGCATAAAATAGGAATTTCATAAAATAAAAAATAAAATAAGAAAATAAAGTTTTTAAAGAGAAAAACTTGGTTCCTCAAGGATTGAGGAGGAATTCCTTATTAAAATATCTCATGACTTATTCACTGAATTTCGTGCTTATAATTGTAACTCCTAAAGGACTAACTAAATGATCTTAGTTTTAATTGATTGTTTGCAAAGATGATCTTTATATAATGGTTTATAATATGAACAGTTCTAATAATAAGTACAAAATTCTATAAATAGACCACGAAATATTGTAAGGAGGAATTCCTCCTTAACCTTAAGGAGCCAAGATCTTCTCTTTTTTTTTAAGGAAATTAGATATTTTTTTGTATGAAAAGACCACCATACCCTTACATTTGATGGGATAAAAAGACAAATTTGACAAAATGACTACTCATGCAACAGATAGTTAAGTTGGAGGACAAAAGAAACTGATATGAGAGCTCAGGGGGAGGAAACTAATATAAAATAGAAGTAAATGTGATGCAGATACAATGGGTTAAGATGCATTAATCTATTCATTTCTGTCTAAATAAGTATTAATGCATTGTATAATGAGTAATTTTGGGTTTAACTTTATTACCTAGGGTCATAATAAACTCCTGACCAGGCTCAATACATTGAGCTATTGCGGTTCAGCCTTTTCATCTTATATTTGTTTGTAAGCCTAGATGGCTGGGAAATTTTTGGGTGTTGAATTAAAAAGGAACAAAATCTAGAACACAATAAACCCTTATTTCTTGTTTATTTTGACGGATGTGAATAGCCAAGAACAAAGGAAATTTATAACTTGTTGATTCCTACGTAATACCCAAGTTGAGAGAACGGAAGAGAATAAACTCTTACTTTTACTTTAACATCCAAAAATTGCCTATCCATCCAAGCTTACAAGGAAATATAAGATGAAAAGATTGAATCTCAATAACCTCAATACATTGAGCTTTAGTGGTGGAGCCATAATTCTTTGTGAGAGAGGGTCTTTCATATATGTATTGAGAAAAAGGCTCAAAGTCATTACATGAGTAATTGAAGTAATCTCACAAAACTGAAAGACCCTTTAAATTTAATAAAGAGAATAAAAAGAAGTGTATACTACAAGTAAGTGGGAGGTAGAGAGCAGCGTAATAACTTAAAAAAATTGAATTATAGGAAGAAAATACAAAGAAATCTGGTTTTAATCATTTGATAGAAAAAATAAGGCAAGGAGGAGGGTTGCAAATAATAGTTGATTAGGGTGCTTTAGAAATAACATTAAAGTTGATTTTAAAACTCCATCCTTGATTTTCATTAAACCACAAAGACAAAATAAACAAAACTGTTAGAAAAATATAAGATACGACGTCGTTCGATTCAACTTCTTCACGAGGACAATTCATCTTCTTCCTCATGTTTCACAATTCTACACCTACAAACTTAAGGCCGCTAGAAATTTCTTACACCATATCAGAATGGGCACAAAACCACTCTGGTCCCTTAATGGCTCTGCCATGTGAGCCTAGTCAAGAATTTATTATGATCCTAGGTAACAAAGCCAAACTCAAATTTACTTCTAATTAAGAATGCATCAATTTTTATTTAGATATAAATGCATAGATGAATGCATCTTCTCCGAACGTCTGCGTCAAAAAGTATGATTCCTCCCAGACTTAACAGTAAGTTCACGAGCACTAAAATGAAAGAAATTGGATGATTTTCTGTGAACCCAAATAGAAGAAATGCACTATTGAAAAAATAATTGATTTGGATAGGCAAGAGTTGAATTAAGTGGAAAGTGGGCAGCAATTCTCGATGTGGCTATAAATCTAAAAAAAAACATGGGAAAAATAGATATCATCAGTCACTTTCTTAAGTCCTGTAACGTTTGTTAGCTGGGAGAGAGTCTTTTAACATTCTTAGATCATTTCTAACCATTTGGCTAAAATCTAAAATTTTTAACCCATAAAATTTAGGTTTTAGCTTGGAAACAACTTTTATTCTTCAATCCTTATGACCTAAATTTTTTAGCATGAGATTATTAAAGAATAAATTCAGGCTAATTTCCAACTGAAATGCCAACACAACTGTTTTCCAACTGTTTGTCCACATCAGCAATAACATTAAAAAAAAAGCCAACACAACTGTTTTCCAATCAAAATGCCAATTTTTGTATGGTATAACATGATTGGCAACAAGAGGAGTTGTGTCAAATTTCACAGCACCTTCAAATACTTATTATTAATTTTGTTATTTGTTTAAACATTTATTACAAGTGATTGTTGATTGACTGCGTTTTTTATTTATTTAAAGTTTATTATAATTTAGAATTTAACATATCAAAAGAAGAAAAAACTTTAAAAGATATCAAAGCATTGTTAACCTGTCAATATGTCATCTGTTTTAATTTAGTAAACGACTATTAACTATCCATGAACGGTCTGAGAGTCACCGAATCCGCCACCATGTGCGACTTTTTTTTCCCATTTCTCATGTCGACCAAATTGGTGGTTAATTGTAACAGAAGATCTTTTTCCCAATACTTTTATTCAAAGTCTCCAACTGCAAGGTCCCAACTGCAAGTTGGAATAAAATAAACAATTAAAGAAATTAAACAACTCATGGATTCCATGGAATCACACTGAGACGCTGCGAATTGTTTACCATTGCTGATAGTATTCCTCTCTTTCTACCACAACCCATGTCTTTCTTTCCAGTAAAGATTACAACTTTCCCGGAAAAAAACAAAACAAACGCTTTCCCGGAAAATGTCCGATCCTGAAGACAAAACCCAAGCGCCAGCCATTCCGCCGAAGCCAAAGAACGAACGAGAGGCTGCTCTCATGGACTTTGATCTCGACCTCGACGCTTTATGGCCGTTGGATCCGAATCACTTCCTCTCGAACCCCACATCGCCGCTTTTGTTGCCGTCCAATGACCAGCCCTGTACCCCTTTGTGGGCTTTTCCCGACGGCGATGTCGATGGTGACGATAAGCTCACCGGGCGTGTTGGTCAAGATCTCTCTGACCCTTCTCAATTCGTTTCCTGTGAGTTTTCTTTGGAGAGTTGGAAGTTTTTGAGGTTCTTGTGGTTTTTGTTTTCTGGGTTAATCTGTTTATGCTGTATTGCTATTGAATTTGGTTTTGTTGAACCAGAAATCTGTTCGAAGTTTGTGTAATTACTGTGTTTGATTTAGCTGAACAATTGCTTTCCTCTGTTTTGTATGAAATTTGATTTTAATTAGAGACTAATTACATTGACTTTGGTAACTTTCTGTGAGAATTAAGCTACAATCACTTTTATTGGTCAAAAAATGTTTTTTTTGCTTGTTTCTCAGCAACCAAACAGCTTGTTATACTCAAAAGGTTACATTTTGTCATTCCTGCTCAATCAGGAAGGGCTAAAAGTACTATCTGGTAATTCAAAGTGCTTAATTATGATTGTCATATAACCTTAAAAGCGTGTATGGTTCAGAAGCGCTTTTTGGAGAAGTCTAGGTGCTTCTTTAGGTAGCAAGCACTTGGAGTTTTGATAAAATTTCGACATGTTTATAATACAACTGCTTTTGAACAGAAGTGCTTCCTGCAGAAGTAGTCCCAAACGAGCCCTTAAATTTGTAGACTTTGGTCTCTTTGGAACTGGGGATTTTTATTCTTTAATCTATCTATCTGTTCTGAACATCCTGAGGTTTTGAAATCAGCCATCTAAGATTCTAAATAGAAAAAGTTGAGAGACTCCAAGATTGTCTAGGAATTTTTTTCTTTTTGGCCTGAGAATTCGTATAGGAATTTAAAGCAGTTTTAATTGGCTTACTTTGTGCAATCCAGTTACAAATCGAATAGGATATTGTTCGTTTAGCATTTTGCAGTTGTAGAGTAGCAGTCAGAGGTTCACTCATTTGAGTTTTCTCTTTTACAATATCGCAAAAATACAGGTAATTCTAATTCCGCAACACAAGGGTCAACAGAGAACAAGGATAACAGACTGCTTCCATCGCTATTTTCGGGACTGGAACCGGTTGAAAGTTCAGATGGTTATAGTTTATTTAAAGAGAAGATCACTCAAGCACTTAGGTACCTCAAGGAATTGACTGACCAACATGTTCTAGCTCAGGTTTGGGTACCAGTAAAGGACGGGAATCGGTATGTACTCACAACTTCAGGGCAGCCGTTTGTCCTTGATCAACATAATATTGGACTTCATCAGTATAGGATGGCCTCTCTGATGTATATGTTTTCTGTGGGTGGGGAGAGTGATGGAATGCTTGGGCTTCCTGGCCGCGTTTTCCAGCATAAATTGCCCGAATGGACTCCAAATGTTCAGTACTACTCCATTAAAGAGTATCCACGGCTTGGTCATGCTCAGCATTACAATGTTCAGGGAACCTTAGCTTTGCCCGTGTTTGAGCCCTCTGGACGGTCTTGTGCTGGTGTACTTGAGCTCATAATGACTTCTCCTATTATCAACTGTGGTCCCGAGGTTGATAAAGTTTGCAAAGCACTTGAGGTGGGGGTTACTCTCTTCTTTTCTATGAATATATATTGCATTTTGTGTGATGTTCTCTTCTGAAACAAGCTTTACTCTAATTATTTGGTAAATGGTACTGATGGATGGTTTTTGTTATGGGAATAGGAAACTGATTTTGGATACCTTTTTCCACCTCTTGCACACCCCAGCCATTGGTTTGAACAAAGCGAAGGAGAATCAACGGCCAGAACCAAGAGGGGGTGTGCAAAAGGTGAAAAAGAGTGCAGAAATCACTCCCCATGGAATATACAATATAGTTGCTTAAGTTAATATCAAACATCAAGAGATTTGTCAGTGACATAATTTCGTTCTCCTGCAGGCGGTAAGCTTGAAAAGTTCAGAGATACTGGATCATCCAAGCAGGCAGGTGAGCTGCAATAATGATATGTGCCTAAGTATGGTTTTCTTAACGAAAACAAGAAAATAAATAGGAAACTTTTCTTTCATTTCTTCCTCCTTCGTTCTCACAGATATATGCTTGCCACTTGTAACCAGATTCAAATATGCAATGAAGGTCGCCAAACTGCGTTGGCTGAAATCTTGAAGATACTGACAGTGGTATGCGAAACTTACAAATTACCACTTGCTCAGACGTGGGTTCCCTGTATGCATCGAAGTGTTTTGGCTTATGGCGGGGGCCTGAAGAAGAGCTGTACTAGCTTTGATGGAAGTTGCATGGAACAGGTCTCCATGTCCACAACTGATGTTGCATTCTACATTATAGATGCTCATATGTGGCGTTTTCGAGATGCCTGCGTTGAACATCACTTACAAAAGGGTCAAGGGGTTGCTGGGAGGGCATTTTCATCCCGTAACGCATGCTTCTGTGGAGACATTACCCAATTCTGCAAAACTGAGTACCCTTTAGTACACTATGCCCGCATGTTTGGTTTAGCCAGCTCTTTTGCTATCTGCTTACAGAGCACTCATACTGGAAATGATGATTATATTCTAGAATTTTTTCTGCCGCCAAGTATCACGGACAGTCATGAACAACAAACTTTGTTGGGCTCCATATTGGCGATAATGAAGAATGATTTCCGGAGTCTCAGTGTTGCTTCTGGAATTGTACTTGAAGAGGAGGGAATAGTTGAAATTGTTCAAGTTTCTACAAATAACGGGCTTGCCACAAGACTTGAATGTATACTGATACCCCATTCTGTGGAATCACCACCAGGGCCTGCCTTACCTAACAGAGAAGAGATGGTACAACTAGATTCATCGAAACAGCAGTTAAAGGAAGTATATGATGTTGTAAATGATGGGAGAAATCCTGTTCATGAAGGTGGAGAAAACAATATTTCTCTCCCAGAGAATAAAGACATAAAAAAGAGACCGGAGAAGAAGCGTGGAAAAGCAGAGAAATCAATTAGTCTACAGGTTCTCCAACAATATTTTGCAGGGAGTCTTAAAGATGCTGCAAAGAGTCTCGGAGGTATGCTTACGTGTGTATATCATATTGTTTCCTGCAGTTATGCTCATGTTGTGTCAACAGATGCTAAAATCTGTGGCTAAAATGTTGGATCGATTGGTTTTCAGTAGCAATTGTGATAAATTGTTCTGAAATAAATTATTGTTTTGCAGTTTGCCCCACTACAATGAAACGCATCTGCAGGCATCATGGAATCTCCCGCTGGCCATCTCGCAAGATCAAGAAGGTCAACCGTTCTCTCACTAAGCTACAGCGTGTAATTGATTCAGTTCAAGGTGCTGAAGGAGCATTTGGTTTAACTCCTCTTACTGCAAGTCCACGTCCGGTTGCTGCTGGCTCCATTTCTCAGCCTTGTAATTTAAATGGTTCTAATAAACAAGGTTCACCAAGCTCTAAACCTTGTGAAGTTTCTGGAGAAAAGAAAGACTCAACCACCTCTACTTCACCAGGAACAGAGGGGCAGGCTGGGATTGACAATCATTTGTTAGATGGGTGGATACTGAGTCACGAGGAACTTGCTCCAGAACATAACACGTTTCTGCGAGACAGGGGTAAAGGCTCAAACACATCCAACACAGGAAGCAGCTCAAGGGAGGCAAGTGCTGGTACCCCTACTTCTCATGGTTCATGCCAAGGTAGTCCTGGAAATGGAATTGCAGTGGTAAACGATCCCTTTGTTCCTTTCATCCATGAACAATGTATTGAAGTAAATGGCTCCCCTCAATCAGCAGTTCGAACAACAGAGGAATCAAATTTATTAGTTGCATGCTCAATACCCGATGCTCTCCTGATGGCAGAACCTGAGGAACCGTGTAGAGGAATGCTATTAGGGGATGCTGGAAGTTCAAAAGATTTGAGAAATCTCTGTCCTTTGGCAGACACAATAATGGACGAGCAAGTTCGAGAAGCTTGTAACACAAACCCTCCATTTTTGGATTCAGCTCCCAAGCAATCCAACACAATGCCAGATATCATGGGCAGGCAAGAAATGAAGAGTGTAATCATAAAGGCGACATATAAAGAAGACATTATTAGGTTTCGTGTGTCGATGAGTTCAGGTATTGTGGAGCTGAAAGAGGCAGTGGCAAAGAGATTAAAACTGGAAGTGGGCACATTCGACATCAAATATGTGGATGACGACCTTGAACGGGTTCTGGTAGCCTGTGATGCAGATCTGCAGGAGTGTATGGAAGTTTGTAGAACATCAGGCAGCAACATGATCAGACTCTCGGTTCATGACATAATGTCCCATCTCGGGAGCTCTTGCTGGAACGCGTAAGGATGACGATTAAATTGTAAAATATGGTTAGTTTTCAGGTGAAGGGATAAGTTTTGTACCCTCTCTTTTGTTCTTGCCAAGGTGTGTAGGTATAGATTCTTCGAGGTTTGCTTCAGTTTTACTCCCTCAATACCTCAATTACGTTACAATTGACACACACACACACACACACACACATATACATACATACATACATACATACATACATACATACATACATATATATATATATATATATTCTGGTATTAGCTCCTTTAGTCTCAAATTTGCAGCTTTCTGAAGTATCATTGTCAAGAGCTTACAGCGCTAGCTACTCGAAAATACGGCCACAAAATACAACGGTCTCGTAGCCCAAGTGGTACAATGTATTTATCCCTGCACGCGAGATCAAGTGTTCGATTCCCCCATCGCAAATATTGCCTGTATAATAAAGTATACATACAAATACAGTCGCAAAACAAATTGCTTTCCATACAAGGCTTGTGCCTTGAATTATGAGATCCACTACTTCGTATGGCATAAGTATAATGTTCAATCATGCCACAGAGTCACATGCGAGACTCTTAATGCATGCGTTATGAAATAAAACTATTTGTACGACATTTTGTAACATCGTAGACGAGCTAAAACTTGTAGCTCCTTCGTTTGTTCAAAAAAAAACTTGTAGATCTTTGACGGGGTCCCTGCTCGTCCGACTTATCGAACGGCAGAGACTTCAACGGTGCAGTTGATCATGCCCCGTTGTTCTGAGAGGGAGCACGGCCGCTGTGATGAATGCGGCCTATCTTTTTGGGTTCATCTCTGCCGGAAACCACCTCTGTCAAACTCAATTGTCTGGCTTTTTTTTCTGCCATCAGTCTTTTAGTGTTCTTGTAGTATGTGGCATAGAGAAGCAGTTGAGCTGACCCAAAAAGTAAACCCAACCCATTCGGAATCTGAAAGTGAGCACACCGCATGCCATTTTAATTTGATAAACAATCATGTGCATATGAGAACTACGTTCCTTTTTTTTCGGTTTACCAAAAAGATATTCTAATTACGGTAAGAGGGATTCAAACGATAAGAAAGTGAGAACATTGTCATGATTAATTGGCTAACCTACATCTGTCGACACTAAATGTGTTTATTAATTATTCATGCGTTCAGTTTAATGTTCAAGCAACATGATTAATTAACTTAGATGGAGGATTATTATAAGTAAAGTTTTGAGTTTGAGATCCTTACAGTCAAGAAGATGTCAAAGCGGATGAGAGCGTATGTGAACCAGGCAACGCTATTGAAAAAGGAAAAGAGTGAGAGGAAAAACGGCATGTATTCCACACTTTTTGTTGTAATCACCAATTTCTGTCATGCACCAAAACACCATAGATTAGCATATGATAAAATTGAGGGGAAAACAATCATTTGGTAGCATATACTAATTTACATTATGTAGAGCATTGTCAATATATTAGTGTATTGATAATCAACCAGATATCGACAATATACAAGCACCGTAAATTAGCTTACTGGCCCATATAATAAAACGAGAAACTAAAAGTAAAATATGTTTGGTATTAGATACTAGTTTACAATACTTTAGAATATTGTCAACCGGTATATCCAGTTGATTAATTTATTGAAATTTCAACTATAAATATCGACAATAACATACCAGCTGCTGTAAATTAGTACGGATATATACCGACCAATAATCACGACCTTAAATGAAAAGAAAAATAAATACGATGAGGAGGGTAGTTACCAACTTACCATGACAGATAGAGGTGAAGCATACATCATGATGTTACCTAGAATGCAAACTAGGCCGACAATCAGTGACCTCTTGTTGTGTGTGTGAGCCAATTTGATAACAAGAAATGCCAGAAGAGCCATGAAACCGAGCTCCAAAAGCAGCACGAGAAGCACTTTGAGCCTCTGCTTCTTGTCAGATGAGAAGATGAGGAAGAGGATGACGTAGGAAAGCTCAATGAAAATTGCAGAGCCATTGATGGTCACCACCAGAAGACTGTTGGGGTGCACCACAGGCAATCCGTACAGGGCCCATGCCATGCAGTTAAATAGGGTTGCAAGGTATGGGACTGGTGAGTATTGCTCCACTGACCCTTTTTTCCAAATTCGAACAAAAGTTTGCCTGCAAGGTAAATGGAAATATGGATATTATTAACTCCTTGTGTGCCAAAACAAAAAGTTGCCACCTTCAAACAGGGAAAAATATGAAAAGAAGTATTAGGTAGAGGTTCAAATTAATTAGGGCAACACCCTCCTTTAAGGGCCGCAGATCTGCTGTCCCATTTTACATGTCTTCTTTGTGTCTCGTTTACTAATATTTCGACACATGTTCTCCAACTTAACTAAGAAGTAACTCTGTTAAGTTATTTATTTATTTTTTATTTAATATTCAATGCGCCCAATTGAGCACAAGGCGAAAGCAACCCAACAATCGTAAACCCATCAAGACCCATTATAAATCTTCAATGACTCATGGTAAAGACCCTTTTGAGAGTAACACCAGATCATAGAATTCCAAGACCAAGTCTCTCTCAGTCATATTATCAAACACCTTCTCCCCCATCAAAAATCAATCGCATTTCCCTTCCTCTTTCTTTCCGTTTCCGCTTCAACCGAATTCGATTTGTCGCCTTCTTCGTTTTCACTCTCATTAACTCGGCCTATCAGGGTTTGAGAAGAAAAATATGAGTTTCGCAGATGACATCCAAGCGGAGCTTCGTTTTCTCTCTCAGTAACTCGGCCTATCGTCGTCTTCGTTGTGTCGCATGGGTTTTGGTTATGGATTTTGATCTGGGGGTTTTGGTTAGGGATTTTGATCTGTGGCTGTTGATCTATGGATTTTGATCTGAAGGAACTCAAAAATCTGCTGAAGGATCCTCCTGTGTTTGATTTTTTTTTTTAATTTTTATATGTCAAATAAAAACGTAACGGTGTTATCTCTTAATTAAGTTCGAAGATATGTGTCAAAATATTAGTAAACGAGAGACAAAGAAGACACGTAAAAGGGGACAGCGAATCTGCAGCCTCCTTTTTAAGTTGGATAATTATGAGTAAATTCCCTTCCTAATTTCTTATAGCAAATGAGAGATTTAGGTATTTTTGATTAATACTCGGTACTTCTTCTTTCTAATAAGATAATGGTGTCATACCATGTTTCTTAAAAGGCAGTTATTGTTTGGTGTTGTGTATCAATTTACTGGTGGTATATGCTTAGTATTACTTATCGTCACAATATTAATAATTTATCAACTAAATATCGACAATCCACTAAATACTGTAAATTAGTATCTGTATTAAATGGTTACTTTCTGCCTTGAGAAAAACATAAGATAATTTCATATGTCATGCATTTTTTTACCGACAATTTTTGTACAATTAAACAAATTTTGATGCCTGTAAAATTGTTTATATATAGTCTTTTTTTCTTTTCTTTTTTTCAGAAATGCATATCATAATCATTGTGAATTGAAGAATTCAAGAAATGGGGAAAAAACCATGCTTACACTGGTGAGAGGAACAAAATGAATGAGATGACGTTTCCTGAAAATAAGCAAAAAGCGTTCACAACAAGTTTGAGTCTCAAAAAATAAAGCAATCTATACACATGAAACTGAAAGAAAACAAGTTTAAATATTAATTGCTTCATTCTAACAAGAACCAGAAAGTATAAATCTCACTTTAAGTTCAAATATGCTAATTAAAGCATTAAATAACAATGATGTGTAATACAACCCAAATTATATAAGTTCTAGCTCACCGATGATACCGACGACAGTTCGCATAGCATCTGCAGAAACCATGGTTGTGAGTCGTGCTAATTAACCAAGCTAGCTGAAGAAGAAGAAGAAGAAGAAGAAGAAGAAAAAGAAGAAGAAATTGCAGAGATAATTAAGGAAAAGAAACTAAAAGAATGAGATATTAATAGTAATAAGGAAATGAGGAGGAGCAAAGTCGGTGAGGGTTGTCTTGTATGGTTTTGGTGGGTTGGAGTCCTGTAACTTGCAAATTAACGGAGAGAGAGAGAGAGAGAGAGGGGGAGAGAGAGAGAGAGAGAGCATTAGTCGTTAGATCACTCGCATTGCATGGCATGCACTGGGCGGTGCAACTTATAGAGCAACACATGTAAAAGAGTTCAAATGAAATGATGGATCGGGAGAATAATGTCATTCATCCAAAGGATGACTGGATGAGAGAGAAAGCCTTTTGGCACTACCTACCCTCAAGATTCTCAAAACCCTAAGAACGTTAAAAGACTCGCTCTACCAGCTAACAGACGTTACAGGACTTAAAGAAAGTGAGATCATCTATTTTTCCCTATGTTTTTTTTTTTTTTGGATAGATTTATAGCCACATCGAGAATTGCTGCCCACTTTCCACTTAATTCAACTCTTGCCTAGCCAAATCAATTATTTTTTCAATGATGCATTTCTTCTATTTGGGTTCACAGAAAATCATCTAATTTCTTTCATTTTAGTGCTCGTTAACTTACTGTTTAAGTCTGAGGAATCGTACTTTTTCATGCGGATAGATTCGGATAAGATGCATTCATCTATGCATTCTCAATTAGAAGTAAATTTGAGTTTGGCTTTGTTACCTAGGATCATAATAAATTCTTGACTAGGCTCACATGGCAGAGCCACTAAGGGACCAGAGTGGTTCCGTGAATTGTCCTTAAGTTTGCAATTGTAGAATTGTGAGATATGAGGAAGAAGATGAATTGTCTTTGTGAAGAAATTGAGTCGAATGACGTCATATCTTATATTTTTCTAACAGTTTTGTTTGTTTTGTCTTTGTGGTTTAGTGAAAATCAAGGATGGATTTTTAAAATCGACTTTAATGTTATTTCTAAAGCAACCTAATCAACTATTATTTGTAGCCCTTCTCCTTGCCTTACTTTTTCTGTCAAACGATTAAAACCAGATTTCTTTGTATTTTCTTCCTATAATTTCAAAATTTTTTAGTGATTACGTACCCTACTTTCTACCTCCCACTTACTTGTAGTATACACTTCTTTTTATTCTCTTTTTTAAATTTAAAGGGTCTTTCAGTTTTGTGAGATTACTTCAATTACTCATGTAATGAGTTTGAAATTTTTTCTCAATACATATATGAAAGACCCTCTCTCACAAAGAATTCTCGCTCCACCACTAAAGCTCAATGTACTGAGACTATTGGGATTCAATCTTTTCATCTTATAATTCCTTGTGGTCCTTTCGTCAAATTTGTCTTATTTTCCATCAAATGTAAGGGTATAGTGGTCTTTTCATACAAAAAAAAATTCAATTTACTTAAAAAAAAGAAGATCATCCTTAAGGTTAAGGAGGAGTTCATTCTTACAATATTTCGTGGTCTATACATAGAATTTCATACTTATTATTAGATTTGTTCATATTATAAACTACTATGTAAAGATCATCTCTGCAAAAAATCAATTAAAACTAATATCAATTAGGCAATCCTTTAGAAGTTACGATTATAAGCACGAAGTTCAGTGAATAGGTCCTGAGATATTTTAATAAGGAATTCCTCCTCAATCCTTGAGGAACCAAGTTTTTCTCTTTAAAAACTTTATTTTCTTATTTTTTGGATGAAATTCCTATTTTATCCCTTAACTTAATGGAAAAGTTGACGGAGTTAATGAACATGACTGCTAATGTAACAAAAGACATAATTCGACGATAGGAGAAACTCTTAGTAGAGTTAAAGGAAGAAAAATAAACTCGTAGTATAGATTTGGAACATTTGCTACAATTTAGCCTTCATATTTCTATAGTCATATATTGAAAAAAAAATTTGAGGTTTCATTGTCAACATGGTTTGAGATTGTGGTATTAATAAAAAAATAAAAATAAACCTTATTAAAAAAATTTAGAACGTTAAATGTGTTTGGTAAAACAAAAAAATTTATTATTTTTTAACTGTTGTCAATACTCTTTTAATGAAATTTTCAAATAGCAAGTATAACCCCACATGATTCATAAAATTACAACATTTTCCCCACATTATTGTCCTTGACAATTATTATATCACATTAAATACCATATCCTTTTTAGTCATTTAACATATTCAAAGCAATTTATATAAAAGTTTACCAAACACTCAGACACTACTTTTTTTTATTAAAAGCACTTCTGTAAAAATTAAAAATTAAAAATTATTAAACACTCAACAACTTTATTTTACAGTTGTTTTTTCTCATAGCACAACATAATCAATTTTTTTTTTTAAAGTACATCAATACCAAACTAGCGAGTAGTCTAAATCCTTATATTGACAATGGACTCAACACATTGGTTACATGTGTTGGAAATATTTGGTGAGAGAATGTTACTTCTCCCTACAAACAAATCACATAAGATAAATATTAGTAAACAATATTTCACATTGAAATATTACAATGGATAAAACTAATGTAATGAAATACTTATCTTTTGTAGCGAATATATCGATCTCCAACATTAACGATGCTTGAAGAGAACATGATTTTAGGTTGAGGCATGTAAGTCACTATCCTTAAGAGTAAATTCCGCCCCTTGGAGACAACGTCACGGTATAACAAGTTATGACGCCCTACCTTTCAAGATACAACAACTTATAAACTTTGCAAGCTTATACTCACAATAGTTAGATCAGGTGAACAATTCGATTCTTTCATTTAGCATGTAAGAAGAGAAAATTATAATAGCATTTGAAAGAACACAAAGATTAAGAGAGGAAAGAACGGTAAAGATTCTTTTCAACTAGGTGACATTTGTAGGAAAGTAAAAAAAAAAACATAATATGAAAAACGGCATAAGCCTCAAAGAGAGGGATGTTATTAGAAGGACAAAGTAGGCTATACATGATGAAAGCCAATTAACAAGGTCTAGAATGTTAACGATTATTATAACCTCAACGATTATAAATTAGTTAATGCATCAATTTTGGTTTGGAAAGAAAAATTGAAATGTGGACATGAGTGTGAATATATAATTTGATATTAAAGTGATCAATAAATTTTTGACATCAATATTTAAGAGTTGTATTTTGAAATACCTCTAAGAATTTCAACTAATGGTTTGATACTACGAAAGAAGCTGAAATTCTATCATAAAACTAATTGACAATGTGTATGAAGTAGGTCAACATCTTATAAGCATATGCAATGTCCCTTAATTCCCTGATGTGGGATTCACACTCAAATTAATATTTTAACAAATACATATCTATTGTACTATGCAAACATAATTATATAACTAGCAAGTTTAATTGGTGCAATTTTGATGTTACATATCTTAGATCAGATACTCCAGTCTTTTCTTTTAGTCTATGAATAATTGTGAGCAGGCAGTGGGTCATATGTTCTTTGTTTCTTTCAGTAACTGGATGGCTTTTCACCTTATCTCCAAACATGTCTATTTCATATGCTAAAACCAAAATGGAAGAAATTAATATGATTAGTCGACGTAGAAGGTACAAGGGGTGGTGACTGGTGAGTCACACTGTCTCAGTTCGAAAGGTGAGTTGGTCATGCATTTAATCTGAGTTCGACATTTTAATTAAGTATTAATTATCATCAAGTTCAACCCATAAACACAAGCACTAAATTTGTATGCATAAATAATGCATGTCCCTTGATCAGTTCTAGCAAGTTAATAACAGCAATACTGAAGGCTGAAGCAGCGGGACTTTAATCACAATCTAGACAAAGAAAGAGAGTAAAAGAACAAAGAAAAATGGACGTAAAAGCATTTCTATCATATATGTATATACATCCAATTATGTCATCGTTGTTGACCATACCTCTCTGATAAAAATTGAGTTATATGTGAAACTTGCGCGTATAAACACGTTGCGATAGATCGTATTGTATTGATTAGGATAAAAACATGTATATATGATGGGAGAAGTACTTCTTTCTCCCACCATTACAAATATGTTGAGATAGGTGAAATCTCTATTAGGAAACTAATTTGCACATAACGAGGTTGTATATTTTACTTCTTTTTTCTTTATCTTCTCAAATTAACGAGGTTGTATATTTTACTTCTTTTTTCTATCTCTTCTCAAATGTGTGTAAGCTTCCATTCTCTATTACCATGATAACTGTGGTAAGTAAATCTGATTAATTAAATAGTTGTACCAGTTCTCTTTTAAACCCTGTTTAGGTTTTTATTATGGAACGGACAATCATGCCAAAATGAACTAATATGGGATACAGAGGCATCAATATTTCAGTTAAAGTGAGCGAGTAGACTAATTAGGTCACATTGTCTACTTACTTTTAAAGCCGTCCAAAAACAGTGTTCTATCTGAAGTTTGAAACTATTGAGTAATAATATTACGGGAGTTATTAACTTTTTAGATTAAATTTGTAAATTATATGATGTGTTATTAATAGAAAATAAGTACGTTAATAAAAACTTAAGTAATTATTCAATCATCAATAACCATGTCATATGGTTTATAAAATCAGGAGAGATTTTTCAGTGTGTCGGAAACACAGTTCAGTACACCAATTGCAATACAAAATTGGTTAGAAACTTGAAAAAAAAAAATTCAACCAATCGTATTATGATACTTAGTGTTCTGAGTTTTGTTACTGTTACACTGAAAATTTTCTCCGAAATATAGTCTAAAAAATTGAATCCCTACCATTACACTTAATTATTAATCAAAATAAATGGATTGTGTTACCTTTTTTTTTTTTTAATCAATTAATGCATTTTATTTGTTTTTTCTGAAAATTAACGATTGGTTTGCTTAATTTTTAAAACACGAGCCTAGTGGCCTATGTTTAGGACCGATTTGCATGAATATTTCTCAACATTTATACGATTCTCTTCATCTCAAATCATTCAAAAAGAGATGCCCACGTGTAAAAACATGGAAAATGCACTAATATGTAGTTCTGCTCTCCCTTATCATGCTAATATTTTGGTGTCGATTAATGCATGTTTTGATATTATATGGAAGTAGATTTTCGGTTCATGAAAACCCTTTTTGACTTTCGGCACACATTACGTCTGTATGTCGGCACCTTGAGATATCTTTAGACCCGGCTCTTTCTCGTTTTCTTTAGAAAATTGTTATTAGTATTTTAAAAATCTCATTTTACATTCTTTATAAATGTATTTTTATTTTCTAATATGAAAAATTTGAAATGTAAAACGAAATTTTTGAAATGTTAATACCAATTTTTTAAAAAAACGAGAAAGAGCAGGGTCTAAAGATATCTCAAGGTGCCGACATATAGACAGAAGGTGTGCTGAAAGTCAAAAAGGGGTTTCCTGATCCAACTACTAAGTTAAGTAGTTGAAAGCCAGAAATTAATTGTTAAACCTAAAAACCATTGGCCTAAGCTGGGACTACATACTTTGGTTAACTAGTTGAAAACCAGAAATTACTTGTTAAACCCAAAAACCACTGGCTTAAGCTGGGACTGCGTACTTTGGCCAAAACCAAAACTGATGGAAAAGAAATGTGATGGATATGACTCACTAGTTATTAAGTCCTAAAGTCCCTAACAACTAAGCCAATTTTGAAGAAACAAGATCATTTGTTCATCTTTTGCTACTAGCTTAGCTTTGTTGTTATATACTATTGATAGTTAAAGATTATAAATTAGAATAGGTCAGAGAAATTTTAAATAATTAAAAGTGATGTTTGACAAAGTGCTTTTTAAGAAGAACTTCGATGATGAAGATAATTATTATTATTATAACGCTTACAAGAGTATGTGTTTTTTAGAGAAATATTTTCAAACAAGCCATTAGAATTTACATTGAGAACAATAATCTATTTAGGAGTGGATAACTGTAGTTTATCACTAATTGTCTTTTATTTTGCAACAAAAAGATATAATATCTAATATAAACATATCCCTCACTTTGTCACGTAGCAGAAGGAATGATCAGTGAAATCAGCCTTCCTAGCCTTACCGACTTAAAGCACTGTCACGTAGCATGGGAATCTCCTCCCTAAGTTTTTCTCAATCTTTTTGCTCTGATAGAGACGTTTAATTTGCATTATGGCAATACACATCCAAATTAAACCTGCTCATGATGGAGACCAATGGTTAATTCAGCCACAACACCATTGAGACACCAACTAGTGGCAGGAGAATCGGGTCTCTATCAAGAAACAGGCAGTGTTCAAATCAATGGAGGGGCAGATATTTCCGGGGTTGCATATTAGGCAAGCCTAGTTGGGGAGTAAACCTGTTCCTTTCCTCTCGGGAATTAATGATGCACATATCTATCTGTCTGATGAATCGAATTCTGATAAGGACTATAACTGCATAACATCCCTGGATTCTTCTAACATGACATGCGTGAACAAGGTTAGGGATTTGATACGACTACAAGAACACACAATGTAGGGCTGAAAATTATTACAAAACCTATAAAAAGGGAGAAAGAAATTGGCAAATTTCAATACCCCATATTTATATATACCATTCTTCTATATGTTTGGATGCTTCCACTGCCTTATATATGTAGTGCATGAGAGAACTACGTACCTTCTGATCTCCTAATCACTATTTTTTTGTTCCTAGCTCATTATCTTTTTAATTTTTTAATTAGGAAAGCATATTTCTCTTTACATATCTCACCTATTTCCAGTAACTATGTTGATTTATATAATACTTGCGCAATAATTCTAAGCTCGTATGTCAAACTTCACCGAATCTGTTTACCAAATGCTCTAGGCTCATCTGTCAAAGTATTGATAGCTAATTCTTATTCAGTAATGCTAGGCTCGTCAAGGTTATCACCAAATTTGTGTACCAAATCTGTTTTACTAATTAATGAGAACCTTGCATTCCTTAATGTGTCTTTTAACTATTCTCCTTTTGTCACATTAAAGCAAAATCTTTGCTTTAGTTGGTGCGCCATGAACCTATTACGCTCCCATACCAACCCTTGGTTCCTCAAAGAACTGTGCTTCACATAGAGACTGCTTAGGAAATTTTCTTTGGGTGAACGAGGTATAAAAAATTGGTGTGGTACTTTTGCTTAAGTTTTCTTGTAGGTGGGTGGGTTTTAGTAACGGTGACACCGAAGGGATTGAAGAAGGAAGTTGAAATGAAGAAATTTAACTGAAGCAGGTAAATTTGTGTAAAATGGGTTTGAAATGAAGGTGAAAAGCCGAAAAAGCTTGCAGCCCTGGGCCAACTTGCCTTAAACAACTGATGGGTGGGCAAAATCGGATCGGATTGGGAGATTTTTCGAGTCTATCCACCATTGCCATTGGATGGGTCGGCCATTTCCTAGAAAACTAATATTGCAAGCGTATTTTATTTCTTGTCAATTATAAAGAGAGAATATGGTTCATTAAAAATAATAGAGACCAGATTCTTAAGCAAATTGAGAGACAATATGAGTTGGAGTTTCCTGGCAAAATCATGGGCAACAACGATAATTAAGTGATGTCCTCCCTCAATTAAGGTATTACAAATTAGTGGGGGAGAGAGCAAGAATGTGTGTTAAATTTTTGCACACGAAAAGCTAATTAGGATTTATCATTTTATACTTTAATTATTCAAGTTGGTAGTTAATCATTCATATGCCTAACCACCTTTCTCATCTGCTTTTATTGGCAGTGTTGCTTGTGGTACTCCCACTAGCTTCTTTCGTTTCTCTTACTTGGTGGCTGCGATCAGCGAGATGCTCTTTGCTGGATGCGGGGTCTTCTCTCTTTCCATCTCTACGGCGCTGTTTGGTTGGGTTTCCGGCGCTCTTTGGTGGTGGTGTTTCGTGCTGGTCGTGGGGTACTGTTGCGGCAGCGTTGGTAGCCGTTTTCTCGGTTTTTCTGTTTGTTTGTTTTGAGCTTTGGGCCTGAACTTTTGTTTGGGCAGCGTGGTGCACCTTAGTTTTGTGCTTCTTTGTAATTGGATCTGGTTGTATAAAGTATTGACAGTGAATCAATCGACAGGTCTCTTTTGGGGTACAAAAATTCGCAGAGAGTAGTGAGATGGTAGAAAAATGCAAGGAAATCAAAGACAGAGAAAGGGGCAAAACATACATGTGAATTTTATTCACTCAAATGCATATTTTTCTTCTCAGTAACCAGCTTCAAGCTCACAATGCAGCAAATCAATAAAACATTATCAAGGGAAAAAATAATAATAAGAACAAGAAATTCGAAAACTCGAGAAACAGAAAACCTCACCAAATTAGAACTTCAAACCTATACATGCTTTTCTATGTTACAGAATGTGCAAGTGCAGCAGAGCAGAAAGAAATGCAGTGAAAGTGGACATGTTTTTCTTCTTTGTGGGTAAATCTTTCGCTGTTTTTTCCTTCATAGTTTGAAACTCAAGCCACCCCACCTCTTTGTCCCCTCTTTCTTTGTCTTCTTCGTGGTCGAGTTTGGGTCGATGAGGTTTTCCAGTGACTTTGCTTTTCTGTCTCGGGTCCTACCGGCTTCTTTCAGAAGCTCGGATAGCCTTCTCTTCTCATCTTCAAAATCCGGATTTGCAATTCCAAGCTTTTCTTCTCGCAATTTAAGGACATACTCCAGAATTTCAATTGCATCTTCAACTCTGAAATATAATCCAGAATACAATTCGTTGAAGACTTGATATTTGAGTCATAATAATCAAGTTCTTGCTTCAAGTACTAGACAGTGTACCAGAACCGGCTACAATTATCAGTAGAGCATTCTCCGTAAACACACATAGCGAACTTTGATTAATATATAAAAGCAAAAGAGGAATAAAAATATGTTGCCAGACTCATGCAAATGATGTAAACCTGGAAAACAGGCATTGACTGCGGACGCCGGGCAGTTAAAGAAATAAAAAGCTCGTTCAAGGTGAGTCAACAAGATAGAACTAGAGTCTGGACTATGGAATATGTCCTTGTAGGACATGTAGGGAGCCTCTGCAAACTATTTCCAATTTTAGTGGACATTCAAGTTTGCTGGCTACAAGGGTCGAATTATTAAGAGATGGGCCGCAAAGGGGCAAGCCATATAGAAAACAATGATTTTATGGATAAAAAGTTGAAGCAAATGAGAAACATGGTACTATATTGAGAAAAAAAAATGTAAGAAGAGACTCAATATATTACCTCCCCATAGCATCATAGGTTGCTGCGAGATTGCTATATACTCCAAGAGTATCCTGATGACAAGGACCACACTCTTGTTCTAATATCCGCCTCGCTTCTTCAAACAACTCAGCAGCCTCGTCTATCTTGAACAATTGAACACAAGCCAAACCCATCTGATTCAACACAACCCCAAAGAAGGGAGACTTCTTCTCTCCACTAGCTCTAAGTTTTGTTACAGCACTTTCAAAAGAGCTCCTTGCTTCTTCATATCTCCCAAGCATGCAAAACATCACTCCCATCCGCGCTTCTATTCCAGCAATTGTGCTTTGCTGTCCTGGTTTATCCTCTAACAACTTCATCGCCTTCTGCAATAACTTAAGTGCCTCCCCGGGCTCATCCATTGACTCATAAATGGCTGAAATTTCTGTCAACCCGCCAGAAACCTCTTCTGCCGTTGTTCCAGGCACTGGTTTCACATATATCCTAAGGGCATTCTCACAGTATGATTTGGACTCCCGGAGCTTTCCAGTCCTATGATATAGGTCAGCAAGGCGTACAAAGACAGAGGCAACAGAAGGGTGGTTGTCGCCCCTTGATGCCTTTAAAACAGTGAGTGCTTTCTGATAGGAGAAGACGGCCTCATCAAAACGACAAAGAGACATATAAATGTTGCCTATGCTGACATCAATAGCAGCAACCTCATTGTCTAGCCCATTTGCAATCATTGCCATGCTGGCGAGGACAAGGTGCTCAAGTGCTGATTCATAATCTCCCTTTGCCTCGCATATGAGAGCCATCAGCCGGCGGTCAGCTGACTCTTCAAGAGATGCTGGTTCACTATGAGCACGGTGAATTTCAAGAGTTTTCTTGCACAATTCTTCTGCTCTATCAAACTGCATTGCTTGGACATGTGCCTCAGCTAAATATCTGCATATCCAACACCAGTTCACTTAAATAAGGTAACTCTAACTTTCTTTCAAACTATAATTAAAATTAGTCCATTATCAAAAAAGAGAAAGATATAAGACACATCCTGCATCCCCGGAAGCAGACAGAACACACAACTGTATGTAGTAAATACGAGGTTGATATCATTGCATTCTTTAAATGGTATCTGATTTCACAAAAAGCGAGTTAAGCATTTTCCATGTCAACCAGGGTAGATAGCTAGAACAACCAATACCATGTAAGTCGACCTTCATGCCAAGTATCCCACATGTTTCAACCTAAAGCTTTTAGGAAAAGGAAGGCATGTTCTGTCCCGCCAAATTCAGCTCATACTTGCACCAACACCCCACATTACATGCAAATTTATGCAAAATTTATCAATTTGGAAAATGAGTTTGACAAACCTAAACACCAATGTCAATCGTGCAACGAACTTAACAACATCCTAACCTCAAGTTACAGTCAACCGATCGATAAAATTGCTCGAACACAACCCAATTTAAGTAAAGCCTATTCATCTTTATTTCCTTCACCTCTGATCAAATTTGATTGTGTTTGCAATTAAAGACCCAAACTTTCAGCTGGCTGCATAAATTACTCGCATAAAACACTAATAAATTCTCCAAATTTGGCTATGCTAATATAGAATCACAAACAAACAAGCATTAATATTACTTCTACAAGAAATATAAAAAAAAGATGCTGATTCAACATTTTTGTTAGGCGAACGATAGCGGTTTTATTCAAAATTCAAATAAAAAACATTCCCACCTTATCAATTGCTGCACACAGTCACACAATTAAACTGATCCCAATGTAATTTAAAAGAGCAAAGAAATCAGACCTGCAAGTCTCGCCAACTCTGGGATCAGTGTCACCCAAGGCCTCGATCTGGATCTTCAATCCCTCCTCATAGCATTCAATAGACCGGTCCACCTGACCCAGCATTGAATACGTGTCCCCGAGCTGCATGTGCCCAGAGAACGCAGCGAGCGCGTGATCAGCACCTCTTCCGATCTCTGGCACCCGAATCGCCCGGTCCAGAACCGGAACCGCCTCTTCGAACCGACCCAAGCTACAGTAAATCGCCGCCAGCACGTGCAAGCTCATCGCCAGGTCTAGGCTCGGCTCGCCATCCACCGCGCACCGCTCGAACGACTTGGACGCCCGGACGGCATACTCCAACGCCTTGTTCGGGCCTTCCCCCGAGGCGATGGTATCGCGAGCCAGCTTGAGCAGAAACGGGCCGAGATCCGGGTTGTCGAGGGAGGCATCGGCGAGAATTGGGTCCGGGGAAGCGGGTTGAGTTTTTTTAGATCGGGCGGGCGAGGGTTTGGATCGGGAAGGGGACGGAGACGGTGGTTTTTTAGTGTGGGGAGAAGGGGTTTTGGAAACCGGGGCGGGTTCGGATCTGTGGGGCTGGGGATCCGGGACCGTGATTCGGATCGGGGAAGAGTCGGGCGGGGTTTTGACGGAGACTAAACCCGGCATCCTCGCTGAAGAAGAAGAAGAAGAAGCGATTGTGAAAAATGCAGAGAGAATTGGGATTTGATTAAGTGGGAGGTAATTAAGTTAATCACGGATTAGAACTCGCCACCACGCCCAACAAACTGAGAGAGTGGGTGATTGATTAATTAATCTGGGAGTGATGTGATTAGGGGTTTAGAGAGAGAAAGTGAGGAGAGAGATAGGGAGGGGGAGGGAGAGAGAGAGAGAGAGAGAGAGGGGGGGGGGGGGGACTGGATATTTGCAGAGAAGTAGATGAGACGTCTCTCCAGACTGTGCTGGCAAAAGCGTGAAGGAGGTGGTTGGTCTGTTGGTTTCAGACTTTCAGTTTTGTTTTACCGCGGGGTGAAATGGTAATTTGAGATTTGACTTTGACTTGCCGTTGTCTGTTTCTTATTGGAGGCAAGCCGGTTCAATGATTGTTACCGTTGTAGTAGACACGTGTCCTTGCATTACTGGTGTAAACTCATTTTCTTTTGTTTGTCAACCACAAACAAGTGCAAGAGAAAAAAATTCAATCCACACTCATGTATAAAAATGTGAAATTGCGCTTTTAGTATTTTGGATAATTTTTTTATTTAAGTGTCAATAATAATTTTATATTTATAATTAGTTGCGTATTTGTTGAATTTTTTTGTTAGTTATGAGTATAGCAATTTGTGATACGATACATGCGCACATCTTAGTCAAGGATACGATACATGCGCACATTTTTTCATATCATGCTCACAATTTCTTTTTCTTAGCTATTGAGTCAAAGAAATTGAAAGAAAATTATGAGTCAAAATCAAAAATAGGTGTGTAAAAAGTAAAAAATATGTGCGAAAATCATTTTTCTATTTGCTAGTCATCTTGCACTTGTCATTTATAGCGCGGAATGCATGTTAGAAATGAGAGTTGTCTGTTTAATTTGGTACTACTTGGAGGCAAAATCATAGAGCTCAATATAGCTTATTATGAAGATGTGCACTTTACTACTTTAAATACTTGAAACAATGCAATAAAAAGAAGGGTTAATTAGATTAAAAGTCAAGTGAAATACATGGTGTGATGATGCTCTTATTATACATGTAATATTTGCATTTATGCCCTCTCAAAACTCACAAATTAAAACTGCTTGTAGGGAGATGAAAGACAACAGAATTCGAATGGATTTCCTTGCACTTTTTGGTTGAGAGAACATGGAAAATGAAACAATTATTAATTTGATTTTTATGCAAAATCTGACTCTTATGCTACATAATTAAGAGTATCCAACAACATGTCCAAATTTGAGTAGTCATCGGAAGTCCTCACATCTACTATATATTATTCCGGCTTCCGGTTGTTCTCGGATCCCTTAACAGATCTGCCCATGCGTATGTGGTCCAATTTATTTGATTTTATGCAAATTGGATTCAAATATTCGTTAACCTGTCATTAAAATGGCAGATGTATTTTATATACAGTAATGCAGATGTATTTTATATACAGTAATTGCAAGCATATTAAGTTTATAACATTTTATTCCAAAGAGACGTTTTGATCATGGGTTTTACAGTTTTACACCGAAAAACATAAATCTATTTCACTCGTCAGAACATCATCACTCTCTCTATAGGGCCTAGGGTTTT